TATGTTTTGGTGGAGATGCATGTCATATAAGTGGGTTTGTGGACTCGGATTATGCAGGTGATCTAGATAGACGACGATCTACTACTGGATATGTGTTTTGCATACATGGTGCCCCAGTTAGTTGGCGATCGATGTTACAGGCTACAGTTGCTCTTTCTACCACAGAGGCCGAGTATATGGCCATGGCAGAGGGAGTGAAGGAAGCATTGTGGCTATGGGGTCTTCTAGATGATTTGGGGATTGAGCAGGATTGTGTGGATTTGTGGTGTGATAGCCAGAGTGCGATTCACTTGGCTAAGAATCAGGTTCATCATGCTCGAACCAAGCATATTGACGTCAGGTATCATTTTGTGCGTGATGTTATAGAGGAAGGTGATATTTCACTCTCGAAGGTACACACAAATGAAAACCCTGCTGACATGTTAACCAAAGTGGTGACGGGTAGCAAGTTTCAACATTGCTTGGACTTGCTTCACATTAGTCCGTGTTGATATGCCCGAGAGGGCATGGCCCTTCGGGGCGAGGTTGAAATGAGGTGGAGTATATGGAGGTGAACTACGGAGGCTTGATCCCGAGTTTTGGGTACGTAGGCAATCATGGTATGATTGATGCAGCCGAGTTGGTGCTTGTTTCTTCTCCTTTTGTTCGTCCAAAATTTGAGGTCTATCAAATGATGTACGAGGTGGAGAATTGTGAGAAGGAGGGAAGCAAGAAGAGAAGAAAGGGAAAAGAAGGCAAGCAGCGCCTAGGCGCTGCATGGACCGCGCCTAGGCGCTGCCCTGTTTCTGCTGCAGCAGAAACTGGGCGCCTAGGCGCCCCGAATGCAGAAGGGAAGCAGAATATTGGCGCCTAGGCGCCACTTCCATGGCGCCTAGGCGCCCCGGCATGTATATATATATGCATTTTTTCCCTCTTTAAAACACAACTCACACAACACAAGACCTAGAGAGAAAAGGAGAGAATTTTTACAAGTTGAAGGTGTTCATCTTGGGTATAAATTCAAAGGTATTTTCTTTCTTGGGGATTAACTTGAGGCTTGTTCAAGTAATCCTAACACATTGATTATCATATATTCCATTGGATTCATTTCTTCCTCATTTTCTTGTTCTTCATGTATTTTGGATTTTTCACTTTGCCAACTTAGTTTGTTTCTTGGGCATTCATTGGGAATTGTTTTCCCAACAGATTCGGTTCTGTTCGGTTCCGTACTATAATTACATTTTTTAAGATGTACAACAATACCACCTAAATACAAGTAATTATAAATTCAATCATAGCTTTCCTGGCTGCCCCTGTCTTCTGCCTCTTTATGATCACCTCCTTGGCTCCTTACTGCTGGCACCTGAGCACCTGATTGTGCCTCTGTCCGTGAGTGTTCTTATGCACTGTTGCTGTCCAGTTTCGCCCCTGTTCAACCCCATCTGTGTGTGGTCTTTCTGGCCGGGTTTTTGGTATTCCTTTCTGGTCCATTTGGGCTGGTGTTGCTGTGTGATTTTCAGCTCTTGATCCGAGCTTCGATCCATCCACTTTTGGTGCCAATCCATTGGAGCTTGATAGGGAAGCTTTACCCTTGATTTACTTTGACTATTTTCCATTATCTATTGAACAGTTAACCGATTTTGTGTGGTTAATTGATCGATAGGCCTTTTTATCACTACAAATAAATATTAATTATGCATCTCTACCAAACACGGTCTAAAATGACACGGTTAATAGATTTATCCAAAAATTTCTGGATCCCAAATTAATATGACAACCAGGGACGGACCCAGAGATTTCGGACTGTGGGGTCAAAAATGAAGGCTTCGCCCTTCGCGGCTACGCCGCTACTGTTTGGGAAGAAATTGTTAGATATTTTTCATCATTTTGCATGAATTTTTTTTTTTTTTTTTTTTGCGAATGATTTGCCGCCCCGACTAGTATTTGTCATTGTGCAACGGGGATCGATCTGCCTGGTCAGGCCGTGGGAGTTGAGGGGGCAACGCCCCCGAAAGAGAATTTTATTTTCAAAAGTCTTTGGATAGGTGGATCTGTTCGTTTTGACTGCTACTTCTAACATATGTGTTCTTCATTTCAAGGGACACACTTATTCAAACGGTTGCCTCAATTTCTATAAATTCTGGTTGAATTCTCGTTTGCAAAACACATTAAAAAAATTCTTCTCTCTTTCTCTTGGCATCATCAGTTCTTTTTCGAGTGTCTTCTTGGTTTGATCAAACGCCTCTATTGTATTCTAAGAGAGATTTTCTATCATACCCCAGTCGTGACTTCGTTGGATAGGGAAGAAACATCTCTTAAAAGATAACGTTTTTCGTGCCTTAGAGTTTATTAAGTTTTCAGATTTTTCTACATTTTTCTCATCAGAAATCGGTGGGGAGACAATGGAGTGGAGAGTGGATTATGGTCTTAGGTCTATCATCTATGGACTATGGATTAATGGATATGGATAATGGATTGGAGTCATTGGATCATATGGATATGGATGATGGATTCTCGGCATTGGGCTAGCCGGCTAGGAATTAATTGGAACCCCCAAATGTTCATGGATAACCGTTTTCACAAAAAAAAAAAAAAAAAAAAAAAAAAAAAAAAACAAAAAAACTGTGGGGTCATTTGACCCCACATGACCCCATGTGGGTCCGCCCCTGATGATAACCATAAATGGAACAGAATAAAAAAAAAAAAAGAAACAAAAAGCTATTTGCATTCTGTAACACTATTTGGTGACGTTAATTTTGGTCTTATTGCTTTATTCCCACGGGTGGAAAGAAGTAGCCCACACTGTAGCATCATTTGTTTCTCCAATTTTTGATATCACTGGGTGGACTTGTTTGCATTCCATTATATTTGTCCACCACAACTCGTGGTAATATGGATTAATGAAGTTATAGATTTTATCAAAAGAGAAAAGTGATGCAATTAGTTTGGAACTACTTATAGACCAGATTGATTAACGGGATAAATATTTTCTCTGTCGTGACAGGTACGAATTAATTTATTACAGTTCCTCTGAGTTGGGATGCATATGAGTGCAATGCAATGATAAGGAATGTAACTTGACACTATTGAGAAATATCTGACCAAAATTTCAGAATCTTTTGCTGGTCCTTGCTGTGAGAAAGAAAATGGATTACTCATTGATCAATGAATATGAAAACAAAATGTTGGCTGGTTTGTTACGAGAATTTCGAACATATTTAGTTCCGGATATAAAGAAGAGAATTCAGGATGTACGACAAAAGCAAAAGTTGTGGCATGCTGTATTAAAAGATCTAGATCAGAGAAAAAGTAAGGTGTCAAGTGTACATCTCCTGGAAAGAGAAATCAGAGACTTTGTTTCTAGACTTCAGAATGTCCTTGAAACTTATTTCAACGAGTACCAACGCAGAAGAGGCAGAAGCATAATGGGAAAATTCATTGATGAATTCAAATTCTTCAAGATGGCTGATTTAGATGTTAAAGAGATTAATATGCAGATAAGGATGACCAGTTGGTATTTAGATTTTGTAGGAGCATTGAGTAAGACAGAAACTCAGTTAGCAAATGAGAATCCAGAAACCGAGATCCGACAAAAGTTGAGGAGAAGCATCTTTGACTCTGGAGAAAACGATATTGTTGTGAAGGATCCCAGACTTCGAACTATAAAATCTTCTCTGCTTGATGGCAAAGACGGAGTTATTCGCATATATGGCAGAGGTGGCATAGGGAAGACCGTACTTGCCCACAAGTTATATAGTAGTCCTTCTGTTCAGTCCCACTTTTACATTTGTTCTGCGGTAGAAATTGGCCCAGAATTTGCATTAAGAAATGTTCTTGAAAGTATTGTAGTACAACTTCCAGAAGGGAGAGAGAGAGTAAAGCAACCAGATCTAACACTTGAAACAGTTGCAGAACATTTTAAAGAATATGGAAAAAATATGAGATACTTGTTTGTTTTGGACGACATACGGTCCCTGGGCGATTGGAATCTCTTGCTTAGAATTTTTCCAAAAAATCGAAAGGGTAGCAAACTAATGTTGACAACTCGGTTAGAATAAGTAGCTTTTTCTGTGGATGAAGATGAACCAGATGGACTTGATGAACAAGATGGACTTGATGAACCAGATGGATTTGTTCATGTGATGCGGCGTTTAAGCCCATTTGACTCTTTCCAGTTATTTCAGAAAACATTCTTGAGGGACCCTTACGGTAAGTTTCTCTTCCACAATATTCATCCAAATCTGAGTTCCGTTATTTTCACCATCTTCCGCAACTACCTTTTTCCACATTTTTGTTGGATCAGGATTATCTGCCTTATCCTCTATTCTAGGCTTGATAAATTTTTTATCTTATGTGGTGTGTAACCTACACGCCTATTTAATGTTAGTCGACATCTACATTATGGATAAAATGATTGGTAATAAATGACATATTGCTAGTCATTGTATATTAGAGAGCAATCATTAATCTATAATAATATATCCACTTAGGTTAAGAAGTGCACTCTTTTTTTAGTGATCATACAAAGTTAAAGGTTGTATGAATCGGTTATCTGACGAACAAGACCACCACAAGCCTAGAAAATATATGCAGGAATGAATGAAACACAGAGAATTAAAGAATTAACAGATGCTGAATGTCCAGGTCATTTTACGCGGTTCAGTAAATTTTTCACATCCACGTTAGGACCAGATCTATTTCTTTCCTGTTATTGACAGTAAATTACTGAGATCTGTCCACAATTAAATTCACTGAAATCAGAAAATTCATCGCCACTTAAAGGAAGAATCCAGATTGCTCTGGGTATTTCATCTACTGTCTTCTCACCTGTCTCCTTCTTTATATTGTTGTCTTAATTTTTAACTCTTGTGAAATGCTGGGCAGATTCTGGACTTTAAGATCCTTAGCTTTGACTTCCCTGCTAGATGTCTCTAGGTATAAATAAGTCGGTTGTTCCACTGGCCATAACAGTTATAAATAGGACATTAGTGCCTCTCATAGTACTCTCTCCTTCCATTTATATAGAATGATTTTGTTTTTTACAAAAATTAAGAAATTTTATTTAATAATATTAAAAAAGCAATTTTTGCCAAAAATTTTCCTAATTTACCATTATTTAATTATCGACTACTAGTAGTAAATTGAGAAAGATTTATTATAATCAGGCAAATTAGATAAGAGTATATTAGTAGATAAAAAAATTCTAAATAAAGAAACAATACTATATAATTGGGAGAAGAAAATAAGGAAAGTTAACCTATATAAATGGAAATGGGGGAAGAGCAATTTTTTTAATAATGAAAAGCATTTTATTCTCTCTCTCTCTCTCTCTAAGTTTTGAACTGGACAAAAGCCTCAAATTCTTTGTTATTGGAATTAACTAACATATCGGTACAAGAAAAAAACCCTTTCAGTTTTCGTGATCTAGCTGTTCGTTGATTTTTATCCAGTATATAAACAAATCTACACATTTGGATGCACATCTCAGATTTTGACCGTCTTTATTCAGTCAAAAGAAGGTTTATGAAGGAATAAGCTTCTGTTAGTTTTCTCTTCTAATCGATGGCATAAATAGCCATTGTACAAATATCAGATTTTAAAGTTTAGGATCGTTATTGACTAATTTTAGAAAACAATACTACCTAGATACAAACTAATAATTCTGTAAAGCTAATAAAAAGATAATGGTGGAGTTTGGACAGAGAAGCACTAGCTTGAAGATAATCACGCTAATTATCCATATTTCCCTTCAAGTTGGTAAATTGAGAAAGATTTATTATAATTAGGCAAATTAGATAGGGATATACTAGTAAATAAAAAAAAAAATTCTAGATAAAGAAATAAGACTATATTATTGGGACAAGAGAATAACGAACGTCCGCCTATATAAATGGAAAGTAGGGAGTGCAAACTTTTTAATAATGAAATGCATTTCTCTCTCTCTCTCTCTCTCTCTCTCTCTCTCTCTCTCTCTCTCTCTCTCTCTCTCTCTCTCTCTTAAACTGGACAAAGCCTCCCTATGGTAGTGAAATGCAAATTCTCTAATATTGAAATTAATTAACACATCTGTACAATGAAATAAAGCCCCTTCAGTTTTCTTTATCTAGTTGTTTGTTGATTTTTATCCAGTACAAAAACAAATCTACACATTTGGATGCACATCTCAGATTTTGATCTTCTTTATTTAGTCAAAAGAAGGTTTTTGAAGGAATAAGCTTCTGCTACTTTTCTCTTCTTATTGATGGCATAAATAGCCATTGTACAAATATCAGATCTAAAGTTTAGGATCATTGTTGACTAATTTTAGAAAGCAATACCACCTAGTTACAAGCTAATAATTCTATACAGCTAATAAAAAGGGACAATGGTGGAGTTTGGACAGAGATGCACTAGCTCGAAGATAATTACGCTAATTGTCCACATTCCCCTTCAAGTTGATGCATAGATATCATTAATGCCAATTTGTCGAGGTAGCTATTAAATGCTTGGTTAGTGCATCCACCAGTTATTCTTGAAATTGAACATGAGGCACTTCAATAAGCTTTGCTTTAAGTTTTTCCTTGATAAAGTGTATTAACCTCATTATGTTTAATTCTATCATTTTGAACTAGGTTATGGGCAATATTACATGATGCCTTGTTATTGCAATATAGCTTCATAGGATTGATCTGCTTAAGATGTAAATCTTGCATCAAATTCTTTATCCACAATAATTTACGTACTCCCTTAGCCATTTTCCCTATATTCTGCATCAGCCCTGGATTTAACTACTGCCTCTTGTTTTTTACTTTTTCGAATAACTAAATTCTCACCTACAAATGTGAAATACTTGAATGTAGATCATCTATTCTCGATTGATCTTGCCCAATTAGCATCAATAAGCTAAATTAGGCTTGATATGTGCAAGGTACATTAACTTTCCAACAAGCCTCTGATAGTGTTCCTCGTTAGCAGGGACTTGATTTTGATGTATCTTTAGTTTCGATTTTTCTTCCACATGGGTGCTAGCTAGGCTACATGCTATCATGCCAATCTCATTCAACAGATCTAAAGCATATTTTCGTTGAGACAAAAAATTCATTTCTTCGATTTTGACAAATAAATTTCAAGGAAATATTTCAATTGGCCAAGATCTTTCATTTCAAACTCTCAAGTAAGATGATTCTGCAGTACTGCCCTTTCTTCATGATCATTTCCAATCACTATCATGTTATCAACATACGTAATATGAGCTATGATGTGTTCTTTATCATTTTTCAAGAAGAGAGTACAATTTGAGTTACTTCTCCTATATCCAATAAACTTCATAATGTCCGTAAACCTTCCAAACCATACCCTAGGTGACTGCTTCGGACCAAATAGGGACTTTCTCAATTTACAAACATGTTTGCTTCCTTTGGTTTGCATAATACATCCATAAGCCAACTGCATTATACTTCTTCTTGAAGATCTCCGTGCAGAAATGCATTCTTTGCATCTAATTGGTGTAAAGAGCAGTCAAGATTTATTGCCAAAGATAGTAGAATATGTACAAGATTAATTTCAGCCTTGGGTGCAAATGTCTCCATGTATTCAATCCCTTAGATTTGAGTATATCTCTTGACGACATGCCTTGCTTTGAATCGCTCGATCGTTCCATTAACCTTGTATTTAATGGTGAAGACCCACTTACAACCGAATGGTGTCTTCCTTTCTTCAACAACTTTTCGTCTTGAATTCTTTTGGAGAGACGTCATCTCGTTATTCATTGCTTCCCTCCATTTAGGATCTTTCAAAGCTTCATGTACACTACAAAGAGTAGATTCATTAAATAATTGATTCGCAAATGCTTTACTTTACTTTGACAATTAATGGTAAGACACAAAGTTACTTATGGGATACTTAGGTTTGGAGTTAAGAATAGGTTCATAATTTACTCTAGGTTTTTCCCTTGTGGTTCATTCGACCAGTACCTTTAGTTGGGGTTCAGATGTTACCTGAAATTCAGACATAGAATCGGTTTGAACGATAAATTGGTCAACTGGTAAATTGTAGACGGGAGAAATGGCTGAATAGTTGGTTGTACCACTTCCATAAGATCCTGACTATTTTCCCTTCCAAACTATCCCCATTTGTCTCATATGGGCAATCATAGCTATTATCAAAGTTGCTATTATTTGGACATTCAACAATCTCATCCAATTTGTCACCACTCCTAAGATCCAAAGTTTCCAAAGTATGATTAAAGGTCTGCAATTCGTTTCTATTCTCCCCCTAAATTGGAGGTTTGGGAGTAGAATTATACATGTCATCCTTATAAAATACAACATCAAGGGGGTGATAGCATTGATAGCCTTTTTGATGTTAAGCACACTGTCAACAAATATAGACTGAAGAGCTCGAGGTTCCAACTTATGTCTTAATGATTTGTGAAGATACATGAAGGCTACACATCCAAATACTTTAGATAGCATATTCGATATAGCAGGAGCACTTATTGCCTTATGAATAATGTTAAAAAAGGTCTGAAACTGAAGTCCACTAGAATGTACATGATTATTGAGGTAAACTGCAGTAGTGATAGCTTTATCCCAAATAACTGGTAGGCACATGAGCTTCAAATAAGGAAGCACATAAAGTTTCAAGAAGGTTATTACACTTCACAGCCCATTTTGTTGAGGGGTATTAAGGACAAGTAGTCGATGAAAAATGCCATGAATATACAAGTACTATTTTAGGTCTTGATTATCAAACTCTCCACCATTATCACTACGGAGAACTTGTATGCTAGATTGATACTAGGTGGCTATCATCTTGTAAAATTTTTGGAACAATGAACTAACTACAATTTTTATTTTATTTTATTAAGCAAATCCAACTCATGCAGGTATGATCATCAATAAATGAACTAACGTTTATTCTAAGAGAAGAAGTATTTGCTGGACCCCATACACTAGAGTGAATAAAATGGTGCTGGACTTTTATTCATACTTGTTGAAAATGGAGCACGATGGCTGTTAGCCATTTCACAGATGTCATACTTAAATTTGAAGTAGCTAATTGCTCAAAGAGCTTTGGAAATAATTTCTTTAAATATCCAAAAGATGCATGACCCAAACATCTACGCCAAAACCAATTTCTGAATTTTGAATTGTGCTAGATTTATTCACGGAAAAACTTAAGCCAACTGATTTGAGCTTGTCGGCATTAAATTAAGATAATAGAGCTTCCCCCTTCTAGTACTATAACCAATTGTCTTCCAAGTCCCGGTGTCCTTAAAAACACAAAGATTTGGCCAAAAAAATCACAATTTAATGCAATGTACGAGTTATTAGATCATCAAACAATAACTTATGGTTAAGGGTAGGAACGATCAAAACAGAATCTAAATTCATGATTTCAGTAAGAGTGATAGAACTTTCTTCAACAAAAGGAGAATAAGTACCATTTTCTAGACGGCTTCATAGACTAAATATGATGATTGTCAAAGGTCATGTGGTCAGTAGTACCGAAATCAATTATCCATTCAATATAGTATTGTCAAGAAAATTGTAAATTGTATATAATAAAGTCTTGTAAATATTACAAAGGAGAAGACCCTATTTATAGGGCTACAAATAACTGTAAAAGGAAATAACGAAAAATGAAAGATTGTGTAATAATTACACAATCAATTATTAAGGAAAATAATCCTATACTATTGGAAAACTATCATAGAGAAATATTGATCCTATATATTATTTTCACTCTACTGACATCTCCCCTCAAATTAATGTTGGTAAAAGCATCAATTTGCAATCGCGAACTGGATGTGCTGTCTAGTCAACATTTTCATAGAAATCATAAACTAAGAGCTCAACGTTGCTGAACTTCAAACCCAAGAACTGATTCAAAACTCGATATGATTCCCTGCAAAGAGTCAATGTCCGACCAGAGACTGATGATGCTACCAAATC